GTGTTTTAAATATTCTATTGAGTGTGGATATTGTAAAATTTGTGATAAAGCACACCCTGAAAAGATGTTTCATTACAAGAAGATAGCAAGTGATTTGATTTTTGATGGTGTGAGTTTTCCTGCTAATAATAATGATATAGATATATTTGAAGAAAATAATAAATCAATATCCATTAATGTTTATGAAATTGATGATAATGAACAAATTGTTATTAGTAGAAAATTGAAAAATAAAGATGCGTCTTTTCATTTTGATTTGTTAAGAGTTGATGATGAGGATTGCAGTCATTATGTGTATATAAAAAGTTTGAGCAGACTTATTAATAATCAAAAAAGTAATCATAATGGTAAGTCCTATTTTTGTAAATATTGTAATCATGGATTTAGAAATGAAGAATTATTAAATAAACATTATGATAGTGGATGCATGGAAGTTGATGGTCAACAAATAGTAATGCCTAAGCCTTATGAGAAAGTTAGTTTTAAGCATCACTTCAAAAAGTTAAGATGTCCTTTTGTTGTATATGCTGATTTTGAATGTTTGACAGAGGAACTGAAAAAACCTGATGAAGATGAAGATAAAAACACTTTTTCTTATCAAGAGCATAAGCCATGTGGTTTTATGCTTAATATGGTTAATGCTGTTGATAATACAAATTATGAATTTATGTATCGCGGTAAAGATGCTGTTGATGTGTTTTGTCAAAAACTTAATGACATTAGGGCAGAAGTAAAGGAGAAGATGGGAGAAAACGAAAAAATAGACATGACTGATGAAGACAAAGAAGATTTTAAACATGCTAAAAACTGCTTTATTTGTGGAGATAAGTTTAGAATGAACTATAAGAATGCCAAGGAAGCAGAGAAATATAGAAAAGTTAGAGACCATTGTCATTTTACAGGTAAGTATAGAGGTTGTGCTCATAATGTTTGCAATCTTAATTTTTGTAATAGATATTTTAAAATTCCAGTATTCTTTCATAACATGAAAAATTATGACGGTCATTTAATTATTCAAAATGCTGATAAATTAAGTAACAACAGTAAAATAGGTGTCATCGCTCAGAACAGTGAAAAATTTATTAATATCAGTTTTGAAAGTTTGAGTGTTAAAGACACTTTTGGGTTTTTAACTGCTTCATTAGATAAGTTAGTTTCAATGAGTAAGTATGATAATACAGATGAAGAAGATAAAAGTAAATGGTTATTGCGTGAAAACTGGAAAGATAATTTTAGGTTCAGTAGTAAAAATGATGTGATTAAGAGTGAGAAATGTCTAGATTATTAACTGATAAAGGCGTTTATCCTTATGACTACATGAATTCATTTGATAAATTTGATGATGAGCAATTACCGAGTAAGGATGATTTTTATAGTCAGTTGAGTGAAGAAGGTATAAGTGTTAACGACTATGAAAGGGCAAAAATTATATGGAAGCATTTTGACATTAAGAATATGGGTGAATACCATGATTTATATTTGAAAACTGATGTATTATTATTGACTGACATTTTCGAAAATTTTAGAGATGTATGTATGAAATATTATGGATTGGACCCTGCTTATTATTATACATTGCCTAACTTTGCTTTTGATGCTATGCTTAAAATGACTGGTGTAGAGATTGATTTAATATATGACCAAGAAATGTATGAAATGATAGAAGCGGGACTTAGAGGCGGGATGTGTATGGTTTCTACTAAAAAAGTTGAAGCAAATAATAAATACATGGGAGAAGAATATGATAAAAATAAAGAAAGTAGTTATATTAACTATTTTGATGCTAATAATTTGTACGGGTTAAGCATGATACAAAAACTGCCATATAAAAATCTAAAATGGGATGATACATTAAAAGAAGAAGACATTATTAATTACAAGAATAATAATATTGGATATATTCTAGAAGTGGATTTAGAATATCCTAAAGAATTACACGATTTACACAATGACTATCCAATGGCACCTGAGGTTATGAATGTTAAAGCCGACATGCTGTCAGATAAACAAATTGAAATTTATGAATTTTTAAATCATAAAAAACCTACGGATGAGAAAACAAATAAATTAGTATTGAATTTAAATGATAAAGAAAAATATGTAATCCATATAAGAACCTTACAATTTTATTTGAAGCAAGGGTTAAAACTTAAGAAAATTCATAGAGCAATTAAATTTGAACAAAAAGAAGTTTTAAAACCTTACATTGAGTTTAACACTGAGAAGAGGAAGAATGCTAGAAATGATTTTGAGAAAGATGTTTATAAATTGATGAACAATGCCATATTTGGAAAAACAATGGAGGATAAGCGAAAACATTTAGACTTTGAAGTTGTGAGTGATGAAACTAGATATATGAAGTGTGTAAGTAATCCTAACTTCAAACATAGTCATATCATTAATGAAAATTTGGTTGGAGTTGAAAAGCAAAAAACAAAGTTGAAACTAGACAAACCTATATTTATTGGGATGAGTATTTTAGATTTGAGTAAGCAACACATGTATAAATTTTATTATGACGTTATAAAGCCTAAATATGGAGATAATATTAAAATGGTATATACTGATACTGATAGTTTTGTATTTCATATTAAAACCAATGACATTTATGAAGACCTGAATACAATTAAAAAAGAAATAGATTTTTCAGATTATCCTAGGAACATAAATGTTATGATGATAATAACAAGAAAGTATTAGGTAAATTTAAGGATGAATTAAAAAGTAAAATAATAACAGGGTTTATAGCCCTTCGTCCTAAATGCTATGCTTACTCAGTTTATGGTGATGATAAAAAATATAAGAAATGTAAGGGCATAGCAAAAGGCACAGTAAGACGTCAAATGAAATATGAAGAGTTTGAGACGGTTTTAAAAACTAATGAGGTTATACATAAGTCATTTAATAGTATTAGAAGTAAAAACCACAGAATTTTTAGTATAACAACTAAAAAAATTGCTCTTAGTAGTTATGAAAACAAAAAATATTGGATAGATAGTATAAACTCACTTGCTTACGGCCATTATAAAATAAATTCTTTGAAAACGACTTAAAGAAATATTGACTTAATATATTAAGATAGAAATGAACGGTGATAAAATCAATAATTATATCAATAAAAAATGCTATGATTGTTGTCACTTCAAAAAAGAAAATATGGAATTGTATAAATTAAATTTACCTAATAAAATATTGAATAATATTATTAATTATTCAATGGATGAAGAAGATGAATGTAAAATTTGTCAGGAATGGAGAGATAATCAAGTTTTAATCAAATGTCTGTTGAGAATAAAAGGGAGACATAATAGAAATGTAGAAGATGAGATTTTAATATTTCTAACTGTAAATAAAATACCACCTTACGATTATATTAAACAGTTTCTTAAAATCCCTAAGAAAAAATATGGTATGATTGATGATATATTAAGGATGTTGTGTTATAGTCAAGAGAAAGGAGAAGATGTTAAAGAAAATATCAAATTATTTATTGAAAGTAAAAATTTTAATGTTCAAAATACATTGAGAGATATTAATATTATTTTTAAAATGATGTATGAAAGAAGTAAGACAAATCAATTAAATTATTATCCTGTACTGAAATTATAATCATACTATGATTATCACATGTAAAATATTATATGTTATAATTGTAATATATTTATCGTTTGTAAAGATTGAATTATTATATTTTCCTAATTTGCTTATCTCTTTCAAAGTGCGTTGTTTAGACTTGGTATGCTCTTTTGATTTTTTCGTGCTTTGGCTGTTTGTTTTTATTTTGTTTGACACTCTTCTGATATTTTTTGTTTGTATGTTGCTTTGTTTTTTGTTGATGTGTGTTTTTGAGTTTGGGTTCTTTGATGATTTAGAGTGTTGCTGTTTTGTTGGTATGCTTGATTGAATTATTTAATGTTGCATGCTGTGATTAAATATTTTTGTTGGTGGTTGTGATTATTTATTTTGTTTGCTTGTTGTTCTGGATTTTGTTTTCTGTTTGTTGTGTTGCTGTTGGAGAAAAAATAGTAGAAAGAATAATTCTTTGAATTCTCCTTTTACTATTTTTTTGGGGGTGGGGGCATGTTGGAGGCTTTCCTCATTTTTCAGAGGGGCAAATGCTGGTTGCCTGGATGAATTGACCGGGACAGGAACCATGTTGGAGGCTTCCTCAATTTTGAGAGAACTGTTTATCTACTGTGGATGGACGAACTCCTGCACCACCTAAGAAATCTTGGGAATGATGATTCCCCTGCAATACCAACAAGCAATGGTTCCCCATTGTTTCTTGGGTGGTCACAGTATCATTTGTGTGTGTCATAGGGCTGCCCCAAAGCATGGGATTTCGGTTTTCCTTTCCGTTTCCCTTTGCTCCAACTTTTAAAGGGTATTGAGGCCTCAAAACGGTTTTGTTCAAGGTCCAAACCCTTTCAATTGAGATCCATCCTCATTCAATAAACGCTGGAAATTCAATTCCTCAACGCAACTGCTAACAAACGTTATGGTTGCTACTTCATCACCTACCCTTATAATCCGATTCCCCCAACGTAAACTCCAAACAAGCTTTATGGCTTCAACTCCTAGGTCCCCAAGTAGTGCCCTTTGACCATTTTTTTTTTGGGGGGTCCCCCTACTAAAATAGACTACAGAAAAAATAGGTTAACTGCACAACCTAGACTCCATGATCGCCCCGTAAAAATGCCAAAGGAAGGGTTGTCACGTGGGGTGGGGGGGGAGGGAGGGGGGGGGGAGGGAGGGGAGGGGGAGGGAGCCCAAATAAAACCTAAGGCCTTAAGGGCTTAACAGCTCCCTCTCGCCTTCCCTGCCTCCCCCCCAGCCCTATTAAATACACTCCTTTCATACACACCTTTGTATAATTGTTGGGTAACCAACCTTGAAGGGATTCGTTGGGATACGCAAACACCAAATAGCTACTAGGTCCTCCAGTAGAGAGCCCCAGTGAGATGGTTCCAACCCGGCTCCGGCGCCTTTCGGTCACTGAGGTACGACCGGGGCCGCGGGGGGCGCCTGGCGCGGCTGCTGGGGCGTCTCGCCTGCGACCGTCGCGGGCGGTATTTCCGTTTTAGGGAGGCCCTGGGAAAGACGGGGAAGATGAGAGAAGATAAAAAACAAAAAACACTTGTAGGTAAAACCCGGAAACTACTTCTTTTTTTTTGTGTGTGTGTGTTTTTTCGTCCTTTTTTGTCTTCCTCTATTTTTTTCTGCAGGGTAGATGAGAGGAAAACACATCTGGCTGTGAATCAAAACCAATGGTTACCATTTTGGGGTAGGTGCAATTTTAGTCTATTTTAGTGGGGATTGGGATGGGGGTACGGGCTTTTGACCTATGGCCATCTGCCAAGTGGAACCAGGGGAACCGCCGTGTCCTTTTGATCCGGTGAGTTTAGATGGGGGTTATCTTCCATTTAGCAGGGAGGTGGCTTTGTTCTAAGGAACCGCTTCAGAAGTGGTTGGTGGACATAACGCTCTCCAGCTAAATGGTCAAACAGCCACAAACAATGGGACGTAGGCAGAGCAGAGCTTCCCAAGCATTCACAAACGAACGGTTGCACAAATTATAGGTGCAAACTGAGAAATAGTAAGAACACGTCGCATGGGCGGGAGTGTGGGGGATTGGGGGGGTTGGGGTGGGGTGGGATTCAAGTGCTAAACAATGAGGAAGCCTGCGAACGAAAGGCTCGATGTTTGAGATCGAACTTGACAATGGGCCCGCGGCTCCCCGACACTTCTCGGGTCTCGGGTCTCGGGTCTCGGGTCTCGGGTCTCGGGTCTCGGGTCTCGGGTCTCGGATCTCGGGTCTCGGGTCTCGGGTCTCGGGTCTCGGGGTCTCGGGGTCTCGGGGTCTCGGGTCTCGGGTGTCGGGTCTCGGGTCTCGGGTCTCGGATCTCGGGTCTCGGGTCTCGGGTGTCGCGTCTCGGGTCTCGGGGTCTCGGGTCTCGGGCCTCGGGTCTCGGATCTTGGGTCTCGGATCTCGTCTCGGGTCTCGGGTCTCGGGTCTCGGGTCTCGGGGTCTCGGGTCTCGGGGTCTCGAGTCTCGGGTCTCGGGTCTCGGGTCTCGGATCTCGGGTCTCGGGTCTCGGGTCTCGGGTCTCGGGTCTCGGGTCTCGGGTCTCGGGTCTCGGGTGTCGGGTCTCGGGTCTCGGATCTCGGGTCTCGGGTCTCGGGTCTCGGGTCTCGGGTCTCGGGTCTCGGATCTCGGGTCTCGGGTCTTGGGTCTTGGGTCTCGGTCTCGGGTCTCGGGTCTCGGGTCTCGGATCTTGGGTCTCGGGTCTCGGGTCTCGGGTCTCGTCTCGGGTCTCGGGTCTTGGGTCTCGGGTCTCGGGTCTTGGGTCGGGTCTCGGGGTCTCGGGTCTCGGGGCCTCGCGGTCTCAGATCTCGGGTCTCGGGTCTCGAGCCTCGGGTTTCGGATCTTGGGTCTTGGGTCTCGGGTATGTGTACAGTGCTGAGCGAGTGCGCATGAGGGAGCGTTTGGCAGGCATGTGGCGCCGGGCTCACGTGAGCGGGCGTGCTTACCAGTTGGCAGGCGTGGGCGCAGTGCTGAGCGGGTGCAGGCGAGCGGGTGTGCTCACCATTTGGCAAGCATGTGTGCAGTGCTGAGCGGGTGCACGTGAGCGGGCGTGCTTGTCATTTGGCAGCGGGTGCATCTGAGCGGGCGTGTTTGCCATTTGGCAGGAGCGGGTGTGCTGACCACTTGGCAGGCATGTGTGCAGTGCTGAGTGGGCGGACGTGAGCGGGCGCTTACCATTTCGCAAGCATGTGCGCAGTGCTGAGCGGGTGCACCCGCTCAAGTGCACCCGCTCAGCATTGTGTCCATGCCACGCACATGGTAAGAACACCCGCTCAAGTGCACCTGCTCATGTATCCATGCCAGGCACATGGTAAGAACACCGGCTCAAGTGCACCCGCTCAGTATCATGGACACAGTGCTGAGCGGGTGCACTTGAGCGGGTGTTCTTACCATGTGCCTGGCATGGACGCAATGCTGAGAGGGTGCACTTGAGCGGGTGTTCTTAACGTGCCTGGCATCAATACAGTGCTAAGCTGGTGCAGTTGAACGGGTGTTCTTACCATGCGCCTGGCATGGATACAGCTTTAAGCGCTTGAACGGGTGTTGTTACCATGTGCCTGGCATGGGCGCAATGCTGAGCGGGTGCACTTGAGCGGGTGTTCTTACCATGTGCCTGGCATCGATACAGTGCTAAGCGGGTGCACTTGAACGGGTGTTCTCACCAGCAGTGCTAAGCGGGTGCACTTGAATGGGTGTTCTTACCATGCGCCTTGCACGCATGCAGTGCTAAGCGGGTGCACTTGAACGGGTGTTCTTACCATGTGCCTGGCATGGATACAGTGCGAAGCGGGCGCACTTGAACCTAAGCAGGTGCACTTGAACGGGTGTTCTTACCACGTGCCTGGCATGGATTCAGTGCTCAGCATGTGCACTTGAACGGGTGTTCTTAGCATGTGCTTGGCATGGATACAGTGCTAAGCGGGTGCACTTGAACGGGTGTTCTTACCATGTGCCTGGCATGGATTCAGTGCTCAGCATGTGCACTTGAACGGGTGTTCTTAGCATGTGCCTGGCATGGATACAGTGCTAAGCGGGTGCACTTGAACGGGTGTTCTTACCATGTGCCTGGCATGGATACAGTGCTGAGCGGGTGCGCTTGAACGGGTGTTCTTTCCGTGTGCCTGGCATGGATACAGTGCTAAGCGGGTGCGCTTGAACGGGTGTTCTTACCATGTGCCTGGCATGGATACAGTGCTAAGCGGGTGCGCTTGAACGGGTGTTCTTACCATGTGCCTGGCATGCAGTTGTGAGCGAGTGCACTTGAGCGGGTGTCTTTTTCATGTGCCTGGCATGGATACAGTGCTGAGCGGGCGCACTGGAGCGGGTGTTCTCAGCATGTGCCTGGCATGGAAACAGTGCTGGGCGGGCGCGCTTGAGCGGGTGTTCTTACAATGTGCGTGCCTGGCATGGATAGAGTGGTGAGCGGGCGCACTTTTGACTTATCATGGACACAGTGCTGAGCGGGCGCACTTGAGCGGGTGTTCTTACCATGTGCCTGGCATGGACGCAATGCTGAGCGGGTGCACTTGAGCGGGTTGGCATCGATACAGTGCTAAGTGGGTGCACTTGAACGGGTGTTCTTACCAGTGCTAAGCGGGTGCACTTGAACGGGTGTTCTTACCATGTGCCTGGCATGGATGCTCAGCGGGTGCACTTGAGCGGGTGTTCTTACCATGTGCCTGGCATCGATACAAAGGTAAGCGGGTGCGCTTGAACGGGTGTTCTTATCATGTGCCTGGCATGGATACAGTGCTAAGCGGGTGCACTTGAACGGGTGTTCTTACCATGTGCCTGGCAGGGATACAGTGCTGAGCGGGTGCACTTGAATGGGTGTTCTTACCATGTGCCTCGCACGCACTTGAACGGGTGTTCTTACCATGTGCCTGGCATGGATACAGTGCTAAGCAGGTGCACTTGAACCTAAGCGGGTGCACTTGAACGTGTTCTTACCACGTGCCTGGCATGGACTCAGTGCTCAGCATGTGCACTTGAACGGGTGTTCTTACCATGTGCCTGGCATGGATACCGTGCTAAGCAAGTGCACTTCCATGTGCGGGTGCACTTGAACGGGTGTTCTTACCGTGTGCCTGGCATGGATACAGTGCTAAGCGGGTCCGCTTGAACGGGTGTTGTTACCATGTGCCTGGCATGGGTACAGTGCTAAGCGGGTGGACTTGAACGGGTGTTCTTACCATGTGCCTGGCATGCAGTTCTGAGCGAGTGCACTTGAGCGGGTGTTCTTTCCATGTGCCTGGCATGGATACAGTGCTGAGCGGACGCGCTTGAGCGGGTGTTGCTGAGCGGGTGCACTTGAGCGGGTGTTCTTACCATGTGCCTGGCATGGACACAATGCTGAGCGGGTGCACTTGAGCGGCATCGTGTTGCAGTTGAACGGGTGTTCTTACCATATGCCTGGCATGGATACCGCGCTAAGCGGGCGCGCTTGAACGGGTGTTCTTACCATGTGCCTGGCATGGACACAATGCTGAGCGGGTGCGCTTGAGCCGGTGTTCTTACCATGTGCCTGGCATCGATACAGTGCTAAGCGGGTGCACTTGAAGGGGTGTTCCTACCAGTGCTAAGCGGGTGCACTTGAACGGGTCTTCTTACCATGTGCCTGGCATGGATGCTCAGCGGGTGCACTTGAGCGGGTGTTCTTACCATGTGCCTGGCATGGATACAGTGCTAAGCGGGTGCACTTGAACGGGCGTTCTTACCATGTGCCTGGCATGGATACAGTGCTAAGTGGGTGCACTTGAACGGGAACGGGTGTTCTTACCATATGCCTGGCGTGGATACAGCGCTAAGCGGGCGCGCTTGAACGGGTGTTCTTACCATGTGCCTGGCATGGACACAATGCTGAGCGGGTGCACTTGAGCGGGTGTTCTTACCATGTGCCTGGCATCGATACAGTGCTAAGCGGGTGCACTTGAACGGGTGTTCTTACCAGTGCTAAGCGGGTGCACTTGAACGGGTGTTCTTACCATGTGCCTGGCATGGATCAACGGGTGCATGTTGGCTAAGCGGGTGCACTTGAACGGGTGTTCTTACCATGTGCCTGGCATGGATACAGTGCTTGAAACCATGTGCCTGGCACTTGAACGGGTGTTCTTACCATGTGCCTGGCATGGATACAGTGCCAAGCGGGTGCAGTTGAACGGGCGTGCCTGTGCCTGCATGGATACAGTGCTAAGCGGGTGCACTTGAACGGGTGTTCTTACCATGTGCCTGGCACGGATACAGTGCTAAGCGGGTGCACTTGAACGGGTGTTCTTACCATGTGCCTGGCATGGATACAGCGCTAAGCACTTGAACGGGTGTTCTTACCGTGTGCCTGGCATGGATACAGTGCTAAGCGGGCGCACTTGAACGGGCGTTCTTACCGTGTGCCTGGCATGGATACAGTGCTAAGTGGGTGCACTTGAATGAGTGTTCTTACCATGTGCCTTGCACGCATGCACTGCTAAGCGGGTGCACTTGAACGGGTGTTCTTACCATGTGCCTGGCATGGATACAGTGCTAAGCGGGTGCGCTTGAACGGGTGTTCTTACCGTGTGCCTGGCATGGATACAGTGCTGAGCGGGCGCGCTTGAGCGGGTGTTGCTGAGCGGGTGCACTTGAGCGGGTGTTCTTACCATGTGCCTGGCATGGACACAATGCTGAACGGGTGCACTTGAGCGGGTGTTCTTAACGTGCCTGGCATCGATACAGTGCTAAGCAGGTGCAGTTGAACGGGTGTTCTTACCATATGCCTGGCATGGATACAGCGCCAAGCGGGCGCGCTTGAACGGGTGTTCTTACCATGTGCCTGGCATGGACACAATGCTGAGCGGGTGCGCTTGAGCCGGTGTTCTTACCATGTGCCTGGCATCGATACAGTGCTAAGCGGGTGCACTTGAAGGGGTGTTCCTACCAGTGCTAAGCGGGTGCACTTGAACGGGTCTTCTTACCATGTGCCTGGCATGGATGCTCAGCGGGTGCACTTGAGCGGGTGTTCTTACCATGTGCCTGGCATGGATACAGTGCTAAGCGGGTGCACTTGAACGGGCGTTCTTACCATGTGCCTGGCATGGATACAGTGCTAAGTGGGTGCACTTGAACGGGAACGGGTGTTCTTACCATATGCCTGGCGTGGATACAGCGCTAAGCGGGCGCGCTTGAACGGGTGTTCTTACCATGTGCCTGGCATGGACACAATGCTGAGCGGGTGCACTTGAGCGGGTGTTCTTACCATGTGCCTGGCATCGATACAGTGCTAAGCGGGTGCACTTGAACGGGTGTTCTTACCAGTGCTAAGCGGGTGCGCTTGAACGGGTGTTCTTACCATGTGCCTGGCATGGATGCTCAGCGGGTGCACTTGAGCGGGTGTTCTTACCATGTGCCTGGCATGGATACAGTGCCAAGCGGGTGCAGTTGAACGGGCGTTCTTGCCATGTGCCTGCCATGGATACAGTGCTAAGCGGGTGCACTTGAACGGGTGTTCCTACCATGTGCCTGGCATGGATACAGTGCTAAGCGGGTGCACTTGAACGGGTGTTCTTACCATGTGCCTGGCATGGATACAGCGCTAAGCACTTGAACGGGTGTTCTTACTGTGTGCCTGGCATGGATACAGTGCTAAGCGGGTGCACTTGAACGGGCGTTCTTACCGTGTGCCTGGCATGGATACAGTGCTAAGTGGGTGCACTTGAATGAGTGTTCTTACCATGTGCCTTGCACGCATGCACTGCTAAGCGGGTGCACTTGAACGGGTGTTCTTACCATGTGCCTGGCATGGATACAGTGCTAAGCGGGTGCGCTTGAACGGGTGTTCTTACCATCTGCCTGGCATGGATACAGTGCTAAGCGGTTGCACTTGAACGGGTGTTCTTACCATGTGCCTGGCATGGATACAGTGCTAAGCGGGTGCACTTGAACGGGTGTTCTTACCATGTGCCTGGCATGGATACAGCGCTAAGCACTTGAACGGGTGTTCTTACTGTGTGCCTGGCATGGATACAGTGCCAAGCGGGTGCACTTGAACGGGCGTTCTTACCGTGTGCCTGGCATGGATACAGTGCTAAGTGGGTGCACTTGAATGAGTGTTCTTACCATGTGCCTTGCACGCATGCACTGCTAAGCGGGTGCACTTGAACGGGCGTTCTTGCCATGTGCCTGCCATGGATACAGTGCTAAGCGGGTGCACTTGAACGGGTGTTCTTACCATGTGCCTGGCATGGATACAGTGCTAAGCGGGTGCACTTGAACGGGTGTTCTTACCATGTGCCTGGCATGGATACAGCGCTAAGCACTTGAACGGGTGTTCTTACTGTGTGCCTGGCATGGATACAGTGCTAAGCGGGTGCACTTGAACGGGCGTTCCTACCGTGTGCCTGGCATGGATACAGTGCTAAGTGGGTGCACTTGAATGAGTGTTCTTACCATGTGCCTTGCACGCATGCACTGCTAAGCGGGTGCACTTGAACGGGTGTTCTTACCATGTGCCTGGCATGGATACAGTGCTAAGCGGGTGCGCTTGAACGGGTGTTCTTACCATGTGCCTGGCATGGATACAGTGCTAAGCGGTTGCACTTGAACGGGTGTTCTTACCGTGTGCCTGGCATGGATACAGTGCTAAGCGGGTGCGGACATGCTACATGTGGTTTTGTTGAACGCTCTCGGGTCTTGGGTCTTGGGTCTCGGGTCCTATCTCGGAGTCTCGGGTCTTGGAGTCTCGGGTCTCGGAGTCTCGGAGTCTCGGATCTCGGGTCTCGGAGTCTCGGGTCTTGGAGTCTCGGTCGAGTCTCGGGGTGTCGGTTCTCGGAGTCTCGAGTCTCAGGGTTTCGGGTCTCAGGTCTCGGATCTCGGATCTCGGGTCTCGGGTCTCGGGCTCTCGGGTCTCGGGTCTCGGGTCTCGGGTCTCGAGTCTCGGGTCTCGGGTCTCGGGTCTCGGGTCTCGGGGTCTCGGGCCTCGGGTCTCGGATCTCGGGACTCGGAGTCTCGGGTCTCGGGTCTCGGGGTCTCGGGTCTCGGGTCTTGGGGTCTCGGGTCTCGCGTCTTGGGTCACGCGTCTCGGGGTCTCGGGTGTCGGGGTCTCGGGTCTCGGGGTCTCGGGTCTCGGGTTCTCGGGTCTCGGGTCTCGCGTCTCGGGTCTCGGGTCTCGGGTCTCGGGTCTCGGGTCTCGCGTCTCGGGTCTCGGGTCTCGGGTCTCGGATCTCGGGTCTCGGGTCTCGGGGTCTCGGGTCTCGGGTCTCGGGTCTCGGGTTTCGGGTCGTGCTCGTTGTCAAGTGCGTTCTGCGATGTTTACACATTTCAATGCAATAAGTGAGTTACTTGGTGTTGCAAACTTAGAGAACCAACCAAGATAGCACGACATAGGATGGATGGCACCACTTAGCAAACCCTGAAGGATGATTCCCCTGTAACTGCCAACGAACAACGGTTTGCCATGGCCTTCAAGGGGTGCGAACGGATTTCGTCCATTCACAGTGGGATGGCTGAGAATAAGATGACATACTTTCAACAAGACAACATCAAATGAGCCACAATCAAAACCCGGGTAGATGAAGGTTAGCAACGGATACTCCCAACCATAAATAGCTGCGGCCGCCTTCTCAATTCTTTAAATGGTTCTGGGTAGACCATTTTAATACCAGGTTTTGATTGTGACTCAAATGGAATTCAGCTGAGGTACGACTTGTTGAGCTTCCTGGTGAGCTGTGGCCTCATCTACTACCTCACCATCGAGGACATCTCTGCGCAGGACGCATTGGGATTTGCCATGCCCCATCCCAATAGAACGTGGGTGGTCCTTTACATGGGATGACCATTGAGGAAAACCACCAAAAATATGATATTTCCCACTCAACGGGACAGTTACTGTGGTCATTTGGGGCCAGGAATATTGATCAACCCCCAAATGCAGTTGGGTGAAAGTAGATGGCGCGCTTCTAACCCGTTTTGGCCTTGCCCTTGGCTTTGCCCACAACATGTACCGGGAATCCGGCCATCTACTTTCGGTGCAACTCATGGTTGTAGGATATATATATATATACACTTATATATGTATATCTCTATATGTATATCTGGTGTCCTTTTAGAACCAACCCAATGGGCTTCCGCCAAGAGACGCCAGGAGTTTCCTGGAATTTTCATGGGAGGGTTTGGGTTGCCACTTTCTTGATCCCCTCACTCATGCTATTTTAAGTGAAGAAACTTCCAACAATTCAGGCGTTGAATTCCAAGGAACTTTCCAGCTTCCCATGCGACAAAAGGCTTGGCTTTGGGTGCAAGATCCCACAGGGTGCGGATCTATGGCAGGACAGAATGGGAACCCATGAGTACACCAATGGTTGATTCAAGCTGCGTGTCGAGACCAAAGAGCGGAGCTCCACTTCTTGAGAACCACCCGCCAGGGCTCATTTTGATGCTTCCGGTTTGGCTCCACTCGCCTGTGGCAGGACACATGAAGTGTCCCTTTGCATTTGGGCCAGTGCAACACTCACCTTTACCTGCTGGCAGCTTGTATTTAGATGCATCCTTTAAGGAGCCCTGTTTTCAGGATTTTTCAGGCCTTCTTCGGCTTTCAAGACGTTCCAAGCAGCGTTCCAAACCCAACCTTGAGGAGCTTTGGTGCTGGACTTCTGACTTTCTCACGACTCGCAAGGCAAAATGTCGCCAGCTCAACAAAGGTAAGAGCTCCATGATAAAGGTCGCTTTGCTCGGAGTCTTCCTTCTGTCCGGTGTGTAACGATGGCGCAATTTGGCCGGATGATTGGTGTAACTTGGTGCTCTTCTTGGAGCTCCAATCCCGTTTTTGGAGGGGGTTTCCCCTTGAGCCAACTGCAAAAGTCTTCAGTTTGGTTGAAAATCCATGGGTACTCATCCTTTTCTCCCAAAGGAGCTGGGCTTTTGACTGCTCGCCCTTTTTCTTTTTTTCTCCTCGAGGGAGTCGAGCCCCTTGAATGCAGGTTGTGGCCCCTGAGCCCAGATTCGGACTTTCAACAGGGTTCCGAGCTCGTTCCGGTCTTTTTCCCCTGAGTCCGGAGGTTTGGAGTGTGGAGGTTGGGAGTGGCGCGTTTCCTCGGCTCTGGGGGGCGCGTGTTTTGTTTCTTCTCCTGGTCCCGGGCAACACAGTGGTGCGGTGGGATCGCGGGTGGCCGGCGGCCGGCGGCGGACGGCGGCCGGCTGGGGCAGGATGAGACCAACCTGCAGCAGGTGGCCACGGACAAGGACCTGCTGCTGTCGGACCTGCAGAACTGGCAGTTCCGCTCCAGGCGCCCAGCTCGGGAGCCCCGAGAAAGGGCCGTCGCCGGCCCCGAATTTTCCTTTCGGAAGCCAAAGAAGCGAAGGGGTGCGCTTGGTGACCGAAACAGGGATGGGCTCTTTGCGAGCCCGAACTTTCGCACGCCACCGCGCCGGCGGGGCGAGACGGAAGGAACCAGCCAAGGGGTGCATTTTTTTTTTTTAAAAAAAAATACGCCCTACGGATGGAAAAAATAAATCCACAGCCAGGATGGATGAAGCCCAAATGAATACTGGCTGATAAACAACTCCACGCCCAACTGGTGCCCAGCGTGGATTTTGAAGGCTACCCATTCATGAGGCCTCACACGACGGCTTCTCCATGCCTTTTTTTTTGCATTTTGCTTGTTTGCGTAGCCAGCTGGATTCCAAGTTCGATGCCCAGCACGGCAAAGGCAGCCCAACAAATACCGCTGTGGGGTTGGAGCCAACATTCGCAATGGAGCAGTACGATCCTGGATCTTTTGCCAGATGGATTGCGTGGTCGCTTGTGGTGTTCCACTGCGGGTTAAAACGGATTAGCAACATCGTGATCCCCCCCCCCCCCCCCCACCCCCAATGTTGACCAATTCGGCAAAATCGACGCACTGGGGGTACCCTGAAAACAACGCGGACACCCCAAGCCAAAGCATCACTTCGGTTCGCGTGTTAGGGTCTTCTTCGGTCGTGTGACCTACGCGCTGCTGTCGTTTCCCTTCCTCATCTTCCAGCTGCCGGTGCTGAACAGCATTTTGACGCACACCATGCCCACTGGGTACAACGCCCAGGGCTACTGCGTGCCTTACCTGCTGCGCCCCATGCCGGAGGACGGAATTTGAGGGGTGGTGTGAAGGAAAAGGACTTCTTTCTTTTTAGTGGGTGGGTGGGGGGGCGGCTAGTGTGGACAAACAGGCTTGGCGCACAAAATCGGTCTAAGGGACGGCTTTTGTAGCCCCAAATGGGGTCAAGGCAGCTTGTCTGATCCAGCGACACCCAAAGCCCTCAACACGTCCCAACCTGCTGCAGGAGACCGAGAGGCAGGAAAGCCGCCACATGGCTTGAAGCGGCCAGGCGACAGACCTCTTGACCAGAAATCCGAGCGCGTTTCAAGCCAAAGCGCTCGAACAATGGATTTCTTTGAACCTTTTTTTGGGTGTGCGAGTGTTTGTGTTCCAGCACTGTAACACTGGCTCAAGTAATCTTTACACAATTGTTTGGCTCCACATGTGGAGCCGTTCTGGTAATTACCATATCGTGCTCATCGCCCCGCTCATCGCCCCCGCGCGCTCTTTGCCGCTCGCTTCGTTCAAAGTTGTGAGCAGAAAGGGCCGTGTGACTGGCAACGGGCACGCGAACGGACCATCCGACTTTGGACTGCAACACCATTTCCGGGTTGCTCACCCCAGACTTGGGAAGAAGGTTTGTCCTTTTGGGTTCCTATTAAAACCAACAGAAAGGGGTTCCCCACAAAAAGGTAAGACGCCCATACGGATTTGGGCTGAACAGATGGCATTTTCCTCTTGGTTCTAGCTCTCCTTCAGAACTAGTTGTATGTTTGCGGAGGTTCCCGTCCTCCCGTTTCCGCACCCCTTGTTGTGAGCAACCTTGCGCTCCAATCCATGCTTGGCACGGCACAAAGTTCGTGGTCCGTGCGAGGGGCTTTAACGCAGTGCATGTCGCCATGCCCGTGGTCGTCAAGAGCACATCTGCGAGAAAAAGAGGGAACCCATAGATGGTTTTTTCCCCAACAACCATCCTTAATGTTAACCCCGAATTAATAAACCCCTGGTTGATTAATAGGGGGGTGTCCCGTTTTAGTGGGGATTCAGACCACTTTTGGAGGGAACACCCCCCTAGTAATGGGACGGGTTTATTACTCCTGGGTCATCCTTAGGTCCGGAAACACCGTCTGTGGCTACTCTTCTTGGGCTTTTGGGATTTCTGGCAGCCCTAAACTAAGCAAGCCAGTTGAGACCGCCAGCGGGTTGTGGAGGTGAAAGGTGTTCCCTTTCAAAGATGCGAAAGCAGGATGAATCTGCTTCTTGGAGCAGAATGGGCAGCTGTAATCTTCCACCCCCCCGCCCCCGGTGGGCCTGGTTCAAACAATGCGAATGCCAACTGAAACCGCGCAAAAGGCAAAAGGCTTTGGTGTGCGGGCCGAATGATGAAGGCTACTCCCTTGGGTTTTTGTGTAAACCGCAGCCCCTCTTTTAGGGAGAATCGAACCAAAAACAACTACGACCCACACGCAGCTGCTTAGGGCCTAGATGAGGGCAATGGGAGCCCTCCCCCATTCCGACGGAGCCAGGGATGCAGCGCAGTTGCTACAAGCTCTTCGAGCTGGAGCCCCTTCTTTCTATGCGGGTGAAAAATAGGTACCCAAAACGGAACCCCAACAAATTAACACATGTACTAAAACCTTCGGTCTGGTGGTTTGGTTTTGAGCCATACCGTGATTTGTACGGCCCTTCAGAGAGGGGTTCAACCACGCTTCTGGATTACAGTGCTTGTACTTGGTGCCCGGTGGGGTGTGAGATGGCCGGGGGTGTTTGTCAAGCTGCTCTGCGTGCATCATTCACCTGGCCCAGTTTTAGCACAGGCGTTTTTCAGCTCAAGAGGAAAACACCCCCACACACACAAACATCCTTCCTC